ATATATATATATATATATATATATATATATATATATATATATATATATATATATATATATATATATACATACGTGCGAAAGGTCATCTTCTAAGGGGAAGAGGATGGGGGAGTGAGATCGGGGAGGTCAACTCCGAGGTGTTTCAAGGATATCTCGAGGTGGAGTTAGAGTTGTGCTTGATCTAATCGGGATTTTATATAATAGGTCGACGTTGGGTGAGGGATTTCTCGACTCGATCTTTTTGGTTAAGTAAGTGAATGAAAATATGTAAAAAAGGTCATATCCTCTCGAGGATTAGTATTTGTACTTGCGAAGATGATCCGAGAGGGGTATAACGATTGATAATGATCACTAATATCTCGGGGGTATGACGATTGATAATGATTGTTAATATCTCGCGCGTCGTTGATCAGCTCGTTTAGGTTCCTATGGTGCGATGTCGACTCGCATAGTCTCGTTTATAATAGAGCTGACTGGAGAGGCGTCGTTTAGGTTCTTATGGTGTAATGTCGACTCGTATAGTCTCGTTTATAATAGAGCTGACTGGAGAGGCGTCGTTTACTTTGTTCGATAAATTTTATATTCGTAACACTGTTATGATGATAATATATCAGATCCATTTATCGAAGTATAAGTTCGATGCATAAAATTTTATCCTCATCACATGTCTTCGAGAGAAAAAAAAAAAAAACTCTTAGAATTCAGATCCCAAGAGAGAGAAAAAAGTGAACGAAAGTGAGAGTTTTGCTTGCTTCTCTTGCTTGAGATTGTGGTCTCAAATTACGTTACAGGTAAAAACAAGGCTCGGGCAATTAATACTAATGAAATAAAAGAACGCCTCAAATAGTGAAATTTCTTATGGAATTTGCCATTCCATTGGGCTCACAACCATTCTTGAAGACCAATTCTGCACTGGAAGAACCATTTCACGCTAAAATTGCATTTTATGAGCCAAAGAATCATTGCACATCAGCAGACAACATCAGAACAAAACTATAGTGATATTTTTCATTTGGATGTCGACAATCGTAACTAAGCAGGCGATATAGTTACTATTACACATCTGGTAATGCAGCCATAGCGGCGCTCATATAAAAAAAACAAATGCAATTTTAGAACATTTGATCATCATCAAAACAAAACAAGACCAGTCCTCAACTGCCTTTGATGGCTGGAGGTGTCCAAATTAAAAGCATAGCCAAGAAAGCTGAAATCTACGAGTGGCAGAACTTTTACCACACCTTATTCTTCACTATTTCCCCTTCTTTGCTCTCAGATCATTTGCAGCTGCCTTTGCCAGAGCCGATGGTTTCATGGCACTCTTAGGGTTAAGCGCCTTCCGGATTTTGAAGACCGCCCATGCGGTTCCGAAAGCATGCCCTGCAGCATCGAGGCCCTCATGTGTGATTTCAGCAGCTTGGTCACCATACCTGCAATGTTAGTCTAAAAGAATAAGTTGAACTATCTAGCATAGCTAAATTCTGTTTAGGAAAACCCAATATGCACAGGTTCTATAATGCTAAGAAGTGCTTATGGTTGATTGCAAATCTCACAATTCTCAATGATGTGCCACTGCGCTTAAAGCCAATGATCTATTGCAAGCAGTAAAAAATCCCTAGTCCTATGGTAAGGCAGAAATTAAAAGACATAACAAGACAGTCTTATTTAAGCCATCTATGCAGATTCAAGAACGTGAAAATTAGTCGAGCAAAACTTTAGCTGATACCTGTGTGACACAACTCCAGTAGTCACAACTGAAGATGTTTGCAGGACATTCTTACCAGCTACTTCAACAGCATCACAAATTTTCCCTGTTGATATCCCATCACAAGGGGTAAAAAAAAAAGAGTAAGTTACTACAAATCATAAGAATTGAGAAGGGGAGGGGGAAATTACGTTAATTGACAACATATACTGTAAACTTTAGAAAACTAAAAACAGTTGCAAACGATCAGCTTGAGCTAAAAATAGATGGATCATACCACTCCATAACTGAAAGTAGCATGCATTATCTCCCAAAATTTATATACTATATGAATAACAAAGGACAATTTATAGATTAACAGTCAAGCACTGGACCAGAAATGAAAAAAATGTTGCAACACTGATTCTCTTCTCAAATGCCTAGATATTAATACCTCGAAATTCACTTTATTCCCTAAAACAGCCTAATTCATAATCGTGCAGCATTACATTAGCAATTGAAACATCTAATGTTGGACCATTAAGCTTAAATAGAACGTATAATACATTAGCGATTGGAGAAAACATTTAAGAAGAGTAGTACCGAATCCATCTAGAGAAGCAAGGACTAACTCCCCAGGCAGAAGACCAAAGAACTTCTTGCCTACTTTTGAATTTACAACAGAGCTAGTGAAAAACCCAGAAACCTTCACAACTCCAGATAGAACTCCGTTTGCTACTTTCTCTGACATTTTTGTGACCCTCTTTACCCTGGGGGAAGATAAACAAGCTAATAAGTAAAAGACCACGGAGTGGGGAAGGAAGATCCAGAAAATTATTGCAGAATGTAATAAGCAGCACACAACCCATGCACAGGATAACATGTGGATAAGAACTGCAAAGTAAAACATATAAGAGAGAGAAACCAATGCTGACAAACTACAAAATAGCATTTCTTTACTTCCGCTTATCATTCAGTCCTAGGAGACCAAATTTAAAAGGAAAAGAAGATTAGATTAATATTCGTAGCTGGCTGTAACTAGATCCGGAACAGACATGTCTATATGACAACAATAAACATGTTTGTATAGCCATTATCCAGATTAATACGGGCAATGAACCTACTATAATTTTTAAAAGGTTATGCATCTTCACTATGTAAAACTATACATCATAATCGTTCGGCAAAAAATAAAAATCAATTATTTCGTTACGATGAAACCTGGTCCAGTTTTAGATCAAATCATCATAATGTTCTGCTGCATCCATTATTGTCTAAAGCCATAAGTATCAGAACATCTTAAAAATTCAGAAGCAATCATTATACAATGACTTGATTTACATCTTTAATTTCGGCTATCAGAAGATCTCTTCCTCAACCCAACAGACACTACCCCAAGTGAGGTTGCAAATCAAACCAAACTAACTTAAGTTGTACCCTCTCTATTGTTTTATTTTCTCCCTCTTCTCTTCTTCCCTCTTTCTCCTCTGTCTCAAAGAGTTAATTCACTTTCACATTATAAATTAATATACTGTCAGAAACTATCACCAAAATTTCACCTTGTCAAAAACATTAAAGAACTTACCAATATAAAAAAAAAAATTCACCTTGTCAAAATAGATTAAAGAACTTACCAACATTTTGACAAGTGAAAGGATTGTCACAATGCAAATTGTGTAAAGCAAGTAATACAAATGAACTTTTGCATAAGCCTTCAAATAAGAAAAGCCACGAAAGATTACGACGATGAATATGTCAACAAAAAATTCCTTGAGTTAATGAAATTTAAACTCGGGGGAATTTTTTGTGTTTGCTCAAGAGTTGCATGTGTAGCACATTAATCAGGCCTGGAAATCACATAACAACAAGAAGGTTAACCCATATCACTATATTAGTAATTTGCATGATGTGCATTTCAGCATCATGGAAATTTCTAATTGGTACCCAAAATATAAAAAACAAGTCCAATAAGATCAACAATAACTTTTTTGTATTTTTCTTAAAATCATCTGTATACTGTTCCACATGATAAAAGTTTGAGATGTTGAAAGTCAAATGACAACCTTTTTGGACAGCGAATAGATATATTGAAACCCCAGAACGGATTCTATTATATGCAAAGTCAAACATGACCAAACCACATAAATCTAAAATATGCTTTTAGTCCAATCTACTCCATTTTGAAATCATATAAAAGCAACCAAACCTAACCTTTTCATCCGCTTCAGGGCATCCTTGCTGATCTCCGTCGGGTTCGAACTGGGTTCCAATCTCTTCTTCAGCAGATCCTCCCCCCACTTGAGCCGATCCACCGTCACATCCCCGCACCACAAGATCCCTTTGATGAGCTGGCCGGAACCCTTGGCGATCAATTTCGCCACCGAACTGCCATAATCTTCCACGTTAGGCGCGAGGGTTGTCCAGTATGCAGCCGACTCCTCCTCCATCATCTTCTTCTTCGGCCCCATTCCCTCGGCCGGAGTCACCTCCCTCGCCACAGATCCGTCCAGCACCTCGCCGTGATCCTTGCCTTTCACCTCGACCTTCTGGACCGAAAAGCTGCTGAAAGCCTGGAGAAGCCTATCCAGTTCCCCGAGGAGACCCTCCTGCCCCTTGGAGGCGAAGGTGAGGCCGTAATTGAGGAGGTTGTTGCCGTCGTCATCGTGATCGCCATCGTCGTGAGAGGTGCGGGGAACGTGGAGAGAGAAGAAATAGTGGGAATGGTCGAGCTTGACGGCGGCCTCGTCACGGGCGAGGGGCCACTGGACGAGGCCGTCGCCGACTCGGGCGAGAACGGCGACGGTGTTGTCGCCCTGGCGGAGGCGTACGAGGGAGAAGTCTCCGGCGCCGAGCTCGACGCTGCGATGTCGGTCGATGAGGTGGAGGATGGCACCGGGGATGCGGAGCAGGGTCTCCTCAACAGGAGGCGGCAGGCTGGGGTTTTTGGCCTCCGCATCATCCTCCCCAGCATCGAGGAAGAGGTTCTCGACGAGATCGCTCATGTCGACGGAAGGATACAAGGAAGAGGAGTTGGTGGCGGCACCGGTGGCGGGGCTATTGGGAGAGGGGGCGGAATGGATGGAGGGGTATAGAGAGGGCCGGGAAGAGGAGGAGGAGGAGACGAGGAAGGGGGAATGCATTTCGGGATTGGATTCGACGACTTGGGGATAGAGCGGAGCGCTGGGCGGAGGCTGCTTGGATTCCATTGCTTTGGCGTTTCAGAGAGTAAAGGACTATGTTGGATCTTTGGAAGGAAGCAACTAAAGAACGAGGAAGAGGAAACCGATCGATCGATTCATCGAGCGAAACAGATGTCGACGGAGAGGATACTTTTAAGCGAAGGAAGGTGGGGACGGCGCCGCGTCCATGACGTGTCTCGTTGTAGAGACTAGGAAGGAAACGCGTGGTGAGAGATGGAGCAAGCAATATGGGGCCCGTTTTAGGGTACGTGGAGAGTGGGGCTACGATGCTCCTTCGATACTTTCAAACGAACTCTAGTGGGGCAGCTTTGATGGCCCACATGCGGGATCCACGTCGATGTCCAATAGTCGACTTCAGCCGCGAGATGGGGAACCCAAGCACGGGTTACGGTCAAAATATGGCTGCTCGTGGTATTACTCATGTTGTGATAAGATAATATTTGATCGTGATTAATGTAATCTCGAGGAATTATTTATTTTAGATATACATTTACTAGGGGATGATTTGATAGGTTTATAAATCCTGTTCTCCTATTTCTTAACGTAAGATTAAATATTTTTATTAGTGCTCCAATGACTTATAATCCTCTTCTAGCATTAATCGTTATTAGTATGTTTGTATCATTTTATTCTTTCGGAACTTGTGAATCCTCTTCTAGAAAATGTAACCCGATAAACTTATGAATCCTTGACTCCTTTACAGAAGAATATTGATAAAGATATTTAGTTTTATATTGATTAATAAGTGAAAAAACTGATGACTAATAAATTTATTTGAATTAATTATACTTTTAAAATTTAATTTTGAGGCTTATCGGCCAGAACGTAGTCAAAGGAGTAAATACCATTATGTCTGTTTAGTTGACTAGCCCAAAACTACGCGTGGGCCTCATGGTCAAAATGTGTTGGGCTGCACCACGTTTCAAATTCATCATCGACCTCGATATGCGACATCTCAGATACTCGATCACCATTTCATATACTCGGTTATCTACACACGTCAATCAATTAGCAGGAATTCGTTTGATTTATTTTAAGATATACTAATTTGTTATTTTAAATATATCCGAGCTTAATCCATTAGACATTAAGGTTTGAGGTGTCAAGACTTATATTAGTCTCATGTCATATTGGAGTGCTGATAATGTTCACATTTTCATATTGATGATCAAAGAAATACTTCACTGAAGTATGTTATTGTCTCAATATCGTCAATCAGAGATCAACACGATTCGATCTTATCCCAAAGGCGAAAAGTCATCCAGATAACTCTCGTAAAGACAATCGTTGCAAGGAACAAGGAGGCCAAGGTAGATCCTAGGAGGTCTTCGTGAATCTGGCATAGCTTCTAGTTTATTGAAGATCCTGCACAAGATCGATATCAGAGAGGAGATTTTGGACCTCTCTCACTTTGAATTCTCTCGTACTCACTATTTTATGAAGAGCTACAAGACTGAATCGTGTCAATCTCCGATCGACGATGTTGAGACAATAACAAAGCTAGAGATGTCGAAGGAACCTTTCATCGGAGGTGAATGATGGAGCGTCAACGCAAGTAGAACGCGAAGAGACTTGCCTGCCGACTTCCATGGTTCGTGCGTTCTTTACTTGCCAGGTGACGACTTCAGATGGGAAGTGGGCTCTTTGCTTGGTCTCTTTACTTGCAGACCAAGTGTCAAAAAGTGGCATCTCGTTTAGACGAGGACAGCAGGCCCCAAAAAGCGATACCTCCACATGCACGGTGAAGACACGGGTCCGACGCATAGCTGCCGTAATCACCGCCAGTCCCATCCAAGAAGGGATGGCAGAACGGCATCCATGGTGGGTTGGTGTACATCTCTTTCGCAATGAGTCGGGGGTGTCACCCTACACATCACCACCATCCTTGTTTGGGACGGGATCACATTTGCTGCTTTCTCATAGAAAACTCGAGTCATCAAACCCGTGTTGGGAAGTTTCTCGTGGTGGGAAGGATTTTGTATCTTTTAACTTGAAGATTTCGTAGGTCATAAAGTCTCTGTCCTTCGTTGGTTAGAGATCGGCCACATTTATGTGATGGAAGGACCACCCAGGACTCAAAAGCCAAGCTCTTCGCTCCGCCTTCGTCTGCTTCACATTAATGACCCAACAAGCTCGGCAGGTGAGTGTCAGAGGAACTGTACAAAAATCGCTTTATATGACCGTAATGGGGAGGGCTCTATTAATCCAAGACAAACATTTTTACGGTGGCCATCGGCTCCACTTCATCATCACCATCTGCATGCTTCTTCTTTCCGGTCGGCAACTTCGAAGACCAAAGGGCAGGTTAGGTTCTGTCCACCATGTCTTGCCTATCAATTTATCATAGGCATCGGTCAAGAACACTTACCATCTTATCATATGTTTCTATAGCCACCGAACCAAGTTATAGGGTTGGCGAGAGATGATCCAGTGGCAGAGAGGCATGGAGAATAGCCATTTAGATAGCCACCATAGTACTTCACAGGGTTGGCAACTGATGATCCATTAAGTATCTTAAATAGCTCATATTAAGGAGAGAGAGGACAGAAGTGTCCCACTCATAATAAGCCATTATTGTAATGTAGCACACGGAGGAGACTAATTATACAGTCAGTTCAGAACATTCAAGTGCTTAGATTTCCTTCTCTTCTTTTATTCTTACTTTCTTAAGGATCAGAGCTCCATCCGAACTGTTGGGTCCCTCACTTATTAGCAGATGTAAATATAAGACATCTCAACTTACAGTGCACGCTACGTGAAGCACTCGTGATCGTCAATTAATGTTCGCACAAAGGTCTGCCAAACCATCACCAGCAACAAGCAATCGAACATACGTTGAGACTATGGAAACACCAAACCATTACATCCAAACAGCCAACAAGCGTCACGACTTTATCACACCATCTTGTACTAGCGATACAAGAAGTCCAAACGTACAATGGAGATGACCGCCGACAGAACGCCGGTGCTCCGCCACTCGCGCTAAACACACAACTGGAGGCTTCCACCCACCACCACGTGAGAGGCGAACCCCACCAAAAGCATTACTATTTCCTTTTCTTCTTCCTTCATTCTTCTGAAAAGAAAGAGACAAAGCCAAATAAAGCTTTACGCTTTCATCTCCTGATCTCCACCATATCTTACCTTCCTCGCCAACTTTTACCATCACCATCTCTTCCCTTACTTTTTTCCATGCTGTGAAGCAGGAAAACTACAGAGCTTTAACTGGAGTAAACTAGCAAATCCACCGGTCGGTCCGGGCCGGACTAGTGCTAATTAATTCCGGCTCGTCCGGTCTACCCAACCACCGACAGTTCGCTTCCGGTTGCCATGTTTGTCGTACGTTAGAGCGGTTGCATCCACGAGACCACGATTGCGCTCCGCACCTCGTGCTCCCCATCAGACCACACCAAGTAAGCGTACCTCGCCCCAGCGCCCCCGATCGCGGCCTCCGCCGCCGCCGTCACCGTCACCGCGAAACTCTGCCGCCTCGCCCCGGCGGTGAAAACCAGCTTCCTCGGCTTTATGGCGATCGACAACCCCTGCCCCGCCGCCATCTCCACCCTCGCCTGGTACACCGCTCCTGCACCCGCCCCCACGTTCGTCGCCGTCCTCCGCACCCTCCTGCTCTGGTTCGACTCCGCCCCGTTGAATGCGACCGAGATCGACGGGTAGTTCAGGTCTTCCATCGCCGGCCTCCTCGCGGGGCAGGCTGCCGGGGCGTGGGTGATCACCTGGACCGTCTTCGCGTCGTACCCGATGGCGCACAGGAAGGCCACGTAGTCCTGGTCCGAAAGGTCGTAGACCAGACCCGGGTCCATGGCCCGGTCCAGGTTCAGGTGCCCGGCCCCGAAATCGAAAGGCGTCGCCGGCCTTCCCGTGGACTCGTCGGTCACCGACCGGCGTAGGTTGTCGTCGAGGCTTGCCGTGGTCATCATCGCCGACCGGACTGCTGCCGGACTCCAGTCCGGATGGGCCGACTTCAGCAGGGCCGCCGCGCCGCTCACGTGCGGGCACGCCATCGACGTCCCAGAGAGGATGTTAAACTCCGTTCTCCGGCCGTCGGACTCTAGCCCAGTAGGCCCCGAAGAGCCGGTCCAGGCCGCAAGGATGTTGACCCCGGGAGCTATAAGGTCTGGCTTGAGGACCGCCGGGGTCAGTCCGTTGGGGCCACGGCCGGAGAAGGATGCCACTACCGGCGCCGGCCTGACGCCGAGGATGGTGCCCTTGAACTGGATAGTGACAGTGGGGGAGGCGGCAGAGGTGGCGTAGGCCTTGATGGTTTCGCCCTCAGCGGAGCCGACGGCGCAAGCCGGGAGAACGTGGGCGTCGCCGACGAGGCCTTCGCCGTTGGACGCGCCGTTTGCAAGGATCATCCCTACGCCACCCGCATCCTTCACGACGAGCCCCTTGGCCACGCGCGGGCTGCTGCCTCGGTCGCAGATGACGATCTTGCCCGCCACAAGTTTGGGGTCCAGGGAGTTGTCCATACAGAGGGAAGCGGACAGGCCGCTGGACCTGCCAGGGTAGTCCAACGGGTACATTGTGCCTGCGAGGGGCTTCCCCGAGTAAAGGGAGACGCCAGACAGGCGGCGGCCATCGCCGAGCAAGACGTCGGCCGGGAAGTTTCGGTCGATGGTGCCCGCGCCGACGGTGGTGAGCCAAGGGGAGAGGTTGGTGACGGACATAGAGGTGGGACCGTCGTTGCCGGCGGAGGACGCGACGAATACACCCCGGGAGACGGCGCCATAGGAGCCGATGGCGATGGGGTCGAGGTAGTAAGGCGAGGCCATGCCGTCGCCCCCACCAATCGAGACCGAGATGACGTCTACGCCGTCCGCGACGGCGCAGTCGAACCCTGCGAGGATGTCGGAGTCTAGGCACCCGGAGCCCTTCCAGCAGACCTTGTAGGTGGCCACGCGGGCCTTCGGCGCGACGCCCTTGGCAATGCCCTCTGCATAGCCAGACATGCTCGCCTGGAACACGTGGCGGCCGGCGGCGGTGGAAGCAGTGTGCGTGCCATGGCCGTCGGCGTCACGCGGGGAGCGCGACTCGACCGTTTCGTTGATGCCTCCGCCGCCGGCTGCGAAGGCGGCGTCGTGGCCCTTGGAGA